CGGCGAGCCACTGATGCTGAATGGAGGCACCAGCTCCAGTGCCACCGACCCCAGGCCCCTGCTGGGAAAGCACAGATGTCAGTAAGCTGTCTGTTCCCCTCCAGCCCCCAGCGTGGGGGCTGTGTCCTGACAGGGCAGCTGTCCCAGGCAGTCAGTGCCTGCAAACAGCAGAGCTGGGGGGGTTGGGGACTGCTAAGGAGGTGTGACAGCTCAGCACCACACACAGGGAGCAGCCAACCCACCCCCAGGACCTCCCACGGTAACACTCACTGAGTGTGGGGGAGGCTGAAGACAAAGTCAGGCCCTGGAGAGGCAGAAAGGAGAGATGTCAAAGGCATCAGAGGTGTCAGAGCTGTGTGGTGCCATGAAACCAACTTAGCTTTGCCACAAGTCTGTGCCACGGCGTGGGGACAGACAGGACAGGCAGTGGGACAGCACCAGGACATCACCCTCTCCCTGGCTCAGCGTGTTCCCAGCCTGCCCCAGAGCTCCCCTCCACGTGGGTTTTCCCAGTCCACAGGACCAGCAAAGGTCAGGAGTGCTTCCCACATCCCAAACCCTACACCTTGTCCTTTGAGTCCTCCCAGACCCTACACCTTGTCCTATGAATCCTCCCAGACCCTACACCTTGTCCTTTGAGTCCTCCCAGACCCTACACCTTGTCCTATGAATCCTCCCAGACCCTACACCTTGTCCTTTGAGTCCTCCCAGACCCTACACCTTGTCCTATGAATCCTCCCAGACCCTACACCTTGTCCTTTGAGTCCTCCCAGACCCTACACCTTGTCCTATGAATCCTCCCAGACCCTACACCTTGTCCTTTGAGTCCTCCCAGACCCTACACCTTGTCCTATGAATCCTCCCAGACCCTACACCTTGTCCTTTGAGTCCTCCCAGACCCTACACCTTGTCCTATGAATCCTCCCAGACCCTACACCTTGTCCTTTGAGCCCTCCCTGCCCTGTCACCACCTGACCCCTACTCCACCTGTACTCACAGTGCCAGCACTGGTCCCTCCAGTACCAGCAGATGAAGGTGTAGCCAAAAACCACCAGGATCAGGAAGACCAGCCCAATACCCAGGACAACCCCGACCACGTTGATAGGCTCTTGCCCTGTAAAGCAGAGGGAAAGGAGCTCTGCAGACACACATCTCTGCCAGGCTGGGGGTTCTGATCACCCTGGGGAACAGGAGGGCTGGGGACTGGGGTACCACACTCCACCCTGTGCTGGGTGGTGACTGGGAAGGGACCTGACCACCCTGGCAATGCTACCCCTGGTCCCACTCACACTCCGGTGGAGCAGAGCCCTATCCTGGCTGCCCGGGAGCGATCTCCTCCTGCAGCCAGCCCTGCGCAGCAGCCAGATCCATTCCTGGGCCGGCAGTTCCCTCTAGAGGATGCACTTGTCAGGGCGAGCAGCATCCCGCTGCCAGCGCCGGGCTGGGACGGGGCATGGATGGGGCTGTGCAGGACCTCTGTGGGGCTCTGCACCCCTCCACCCACACCGTGCACACCGCAGGGTCTGGCAAAGCTGGAATTGTCAGGGGGACACCAAGATGCCCAGCACGCACAGCCCACGAGCATCCATTTCTCTGCTGACAGCTCTGGAAGCTGCTGGGGAGCTGGGACAGGAGGGGACTGGGGGTTTGGACACTGCCCCACAGCAGGGTCAGCCCCGCAGTGGAGGGCACAGGGATGGGGTATCACACCGTGCAGCATGAGGAGGGCACAGGCAGCAGAAAGGGATGACCTAACAGCAGCTAAATTTAGGCAGATGCCGGTGGAGTGAGAACATTTCCCCTGTGGTCACAGTGTTTACATAGTGAGCAAGGTCCTGGGTCACCCTGCAACCCGCAGCACTTGCTCTACCTGATGGGATCCGGCCAAGAGCTCAGAGCTGTGAGCATCAGGGAATCTGCTCTTCCCTTCCCTTCCACCAGGCCCTCCCAGCAGGGCTCGGGAGGGCAGGATACAGTGGAGACAGGGCAGCCAGTGCCCCCTGCCCGGGCAGGGGTGGGCTGGAGCCCCAGACCCTGGCACGGGTGAGGTCAGGGAGGCTGTTGCAGCCGTGACTCACACGCAGGAGCTGCGGGGCAGGAGGAACGTGGTGCAAGAGCCTCCCTGAATCAGCCCACTGCCGAAACTGCCCTGTCCCCATGCCTCCTGCCAGTGGGAGGATGACAGCCTCATGCCCAGCCCCAGCCCCGTGTGGGGGAGGCATCCCTGCCCCGACTGGAGCTGACATCCTCACATCCCAGTGGGATGTCTGAGCAGCACTGCTGGAGGCAGAGCCACACCAGCAGGTGAGCCCCAGCCCCAGCTCACAAGCAGCAGAGGGGAGGAAGGTCACCAAACCACTGTGCATGCCATAAAACACTCCATCCTGTTCCATAAGGTGGAAAAAAGTCCACCCACTCACCTGCCTGGTGGTCCATGTCCCGGCGTTGGGCGCTCACACCAGCCTGGGCTGCAGAGTGTGGTGTGTGCTGGAGCCTGGCACGTCCTGCCCGTCCCCTCCTCTCCTGGTGACACAGCTGCCTCACCACCAGCAGCCAGGCTGGGCACCAGTCCTCACCCACTGGTTCAACTGGTTCCCAGGGAGAAAGCAGAGCAGCTCCAGCAGACGCGACAGACAGCACAGCCCAGTGCCCAGCACAGCCTCTCCACCCCTGGGGTGGGCACGGTGCCTGGCTGTGTGGGCAGCTCTGCTCTCCCACTGCTGGCAGAGGCTGAACTGGGACTACTGGGAGCCTGAGGAGCAGGGACACCACGTACACAGGGGTGTCCAGCCCTGGCAAGGTGCCTGAGTGGGCAAAGACCATCAGCCAGAAGGTGTCAGGGTCCCACACAGAGCCCAGGCTTGGGCATTTGGGGATACCCACAAAGGTTATGGCCCTGTGCAGGACCCCAGGGGTGTCCCCCACCAGCTGCCCCCAGTCACAGGTCCCCTCACTACGATACACTTACGGCTGCATTCAATCGTCTTCTCAAAGTCCCGAGCCACAGGGAGGCAACACCTGGAATTGTGGTGGGAATCTTGGGGAAAGAGGGGAAATCACTTCCTGTGCCTGCTGGAAGAAGAGACAAATGGGGATAACCATTAACAGCTGGAAACTAGGGCAAAATTCCTCCCTTCTTCGTGATACTTTTCCAGGCACAGCCTCCAACTATGCCATACCCAATGCCAGTGGCACAGGGTGGCCAGGCAGGAGCTA